TATTTAACATTGTCATTGACATACATGCTGGTAGTGTGTGAGTTAAACTTCAAGATCAGAGAATCCCAAGAATTAGGCATAGCCATCCCTTGTTTAGGTTTGTTTGTTTGTTACACGAGGGCTATCTGCGCTAGCCGTCCCTAATTTAGCAGTGTAAGTCATCACCATTCACCGCCAACTATTGGGCTACTATTTTACCAACGAATAGTGGGATTGACCATCATATTATAACGCCACCACGGCTGAAAGGGCGAGCATGTTTGGTGTGACGGGGATTCGAACCCGCGACCCGCAGATTACGAGTCGAGCGCCCTAACCACCTGGCCATGTCAGGCCCCCTCGTTTAGGACAATTTATGCACATTATTCCTGTCCGAATATGTTTTTTGCGTTTATGAATAGTTTAAGTTTAAGATTTTATACTAAACAAGCAGTTATTCAATTCACTCCTTCAGGCATTATTAGGCATAATCTAACATATTGAAGAAATTGAACAAATGTTACGATAGCGGAAGTCACGTGATCTGGTAACACGTCATGAGATTCTCGAAGGATCGCGACTTTTCCTGGCAGCTCTGGTCTTTTCCAGGCGCCCTCTATTTTAGTATATAAGCCCGTCAAAAATGGCATAGATAGAGAGATTGAAGATAGAGATAATCGAGTCAAGCGAGCAGTAGGCACCGCAAGTAAAGTGTGTGAATCGCTGTGAATTATAGCGTGTGTTCATAAAAGTAGTTAAGTTTAAAGTGACTGTGGAAATTAACTGTATTACAAAGTTTGTAACGAGAAAGAATAAACTAGTTTTGATTAAGAAAGGACTTGTATCGTTGAAGTTTCTCGGAAATAATTTTTTTGCGGGAAATTAACAAACGAGCAGATACGTAACACAAACACAACAATTGTCTGAGAAATGCGGGAAAAAACTATAAATAAAACAGTGTTCATATAACAGTATCAGAATAAGTATTTCATTTGTGCATGCTTTATTTCAATAGCTTTTGGCTACTTACACCTTTTTCTGCCTCATACTCCAACCGCTGATACTGCTTACTGTTAGGGTCCTGGTAAAGTCTGGTAAACGTCAGTCTTTGGCCATCATATCGGTCCAGAAGTAACGCCACTTGTAACGTTACCACGGCTGATATTTAAAAAAAAATACAGAATACATTCGTTATTCTTAAAAGTCGGCTGTTATAAGATATGTCTATTGATATGATGTGATGGTATCAATATTTTGTTCTGGTATTTTTCATACAGAAAAATAATTTTAAAAATAAATTTGGAATCATAACAGATATTTTGTACAAAATTGGTAATAATCAACCGTTTTTCTCTATAAAATTATCAAGTAATTGTGTCCAAACTTCTTTATTCATTGCTTGTTCTAATACTACTAAAATAATTATCACAATTACTAATTATATGAATTGATAATAAACATAAATTAATAAACAATATTGGCGAAATACTTGAAGACCAATAAAAAATTAATATTCGTATTATACGTAAACACCGATGGCCTCAAATCACTTAACTGATAGTCACTAGGCTTAGTAATTTTAGGCCACATTTAGCTTGAGAATATCATGTGAGAATACTGTGCTGTCATCTGTCGGAACTAATCCTAACTATAAAGGCCAAATAGGTAATGCTAATGGAACACTTTTTTATAAAGTAGAAAACATATATATAATATTATGAATTATGCATGTATGAAGTAATGATGCGACTGAGCAACAGACACGTCATTTTGTGCTCTATATTTGAGAAATTAAATTTTTACCTTTAAATAAGTTATTTTGTGAATTCCGAATATTGTAATTAAAAACTTTACTGGAGTTAAAAGATTACAAGAATGAGAATTACATGCCTTGGCTTTTTCCCCATATGAATTGAGAAGCAACTTTTATATATTTGTGTGTGTTTGTACATACATTTCTATGTGTTTGTATACATACTTGTGTGTGTTTCCATATATGTAAATTAAAGTCCTGGACGCTTAAACGTTTAAATAATATAACGAAATAAAAAAGCACGAGCTAATGATTAAATATTTATTTCAATAGATAGCGCTTTTGTAACATTCAAATTGATCTTTAGCCATAAAAGAACACCGTCAACTTTTATTTCATCCTATTGGTCAGTTGTCGAGCGAAATCTTAATAAAGCGAAAGTCTGGTAACAAAAAACTTTTTTAATCCAGTAATTAAAATTGGCCGAAGAGCAAATTTAACGTCCAGAAATCTGTACGCATTAAAAAATAATAATAATCTTGTGGTTCTTTCTTCCGTTTTTTTTTTTGTTTGATGTATTATACAGCATATATATATATATATATATACTTGTATGTGTTTTGATTATACGTACATACATATTATCACCAAAATATTTCGTCAATCCTATATTACAGTTTTTATGAAGTTTCATACATACTCATTCTTGTAACAAATTTGCCAAACACAATCATCTTGACTTCAGTTTCATGTAATTTTTAAACGTGTGCATTAAAAAAAGAGGGTAGAGGGTGTAATCAGTTTTTTTCCACCAATAACTTGTCTTCTCTCAAATGTTCGTAATTTGTTTTTAATTAAAAATAAATACATTTACTGGCAAGAAATCTAAATTATTCGCGGTGACAGAAATATTTGAAAGAAGTAGAAGGGCAAAGAAAAATAAAATAACGAAACTTACGAGCACACGGTCCACGTGGCACAGTTCGAGCGTGCCCTGCCCGACAGTAGCAAGCGCTCACACCAAGTACAGTTTTACATCGTTCATTGAGAGTGACGTCACAAGTTGACTCGTCACCAACTATACAGGTGTCGATCCTGAAAACGGAGAAAAAAAACCTAAAAACACTCATTTCAAAACTGTTATTTCTCCCTCTATCATGTTGTTCGATTTGTCTATCCGTTTACACTGCCAGTATTTTTAAATCAGTAGCTATCCATTGAGTTATAAATAGCATTTCATACAGTTTGTCGTTATTAACGAAGTAACGGAACGGATCTCTTCCATTTTCTTTTCAGTCCAATGTTTTGTTGTTGTTTCACACATTTAAATATATAAACAAATAAAAAGACATCGCGGTTGAGGTAGATGAAAGTTTAAGGTTTTGGAGAGAGAGAGAAAAAAAAAAATTATTTGGTTGCCCAACGGGTTATAAAAGACACAAGTTTCTGTCCAGCCCAAGGATATTCAACTTGGACACTTATGCAAAAGTTTCAATGAACCTAGATAAGTGACAAAAAAAAAACGTTCGAGTTTACTCGTGAATTTTATCTTCGATGCTAATAATTATCAATCATAAAAACTCTTCTACAAAATTAAGATAAATTTTAAAAACAAATAACATGACCAAAATGTTTGTTATAAATAAGTTTCACAGATCTACATAAAAGATTATCTGTGCTCTGCCCACGGCGGGTGTCGAAACCAGATTTTTTAGTCTTATAAGCTCTCACATTTACTACTGAACCACTGGGGGGCACAACCTTTTGGAAGAGTTTTTGCAAAAGATTATGTGAATTAAATTCGTCTTTTAGACAACATATTCTTATGAGATAACAGTGGTAGTATCAGCAATTATAGTCACCTGCTATGGTGTCTATAAAATGGTATATCACTCACCACTGATATAATATGTGTTACCTTAGTAATGGACTACTGGACTACATATTGAAGGTCTCAAGTCAGTGGGCATGAATGAAGCTCGAGCTGATAAGTCTCATGAAGAGATTTAGTCGGATTATAACACAATGATAATTGATGAAATACATATAATTATCAATTTTTTGATTGGAAACTACAACGTGATCTTTCACAAAATACACCACATATTTCCTTACCTTATAATTGGCGTATTAGGCCTCGGACGAAAAGAAGGACGTTCTGGTGGAGTTCCGAAGAATGGTGAATTAGGTTGAGGCTTTTGGGGATGGTAGGGACGAGTTCCTTCCTGGTGAGGACCAGCTCCTGAAATACGAGATGGTACTGCAACACTCGGTGGACCACGATTGAAACCACTAGGAAAGTTGCTAGGTGACTGACCACTAAGTGGTCTTACATCATTAACATCCACAGATTCTACGAATGGCTGACCTGTGGGGAAATCGCTAATTTCTTGTTGATCAGGTTCACCAGAACTAGATATATAATGAGAGTTAGAGGTCAATGTGGGACTTGCTTTCATCTGCTCAGTCTTGGCAGGGTTAACAAACATTTCATCTTTAGGTACTTTAGTTTCTGAGGGCAACATTTTAGTTCCGCTGATTCCAGGTGCCAGCACTTGCCTGGATGGCTTTCCGTAAACAATTTCTGGTTCTTTTGATGATATGGTCACTGGTATGTCTGATTCTGCCTTGGATGACTGAAAGTTAGTATGCTCCTTTGGGTTACCAACTGGAATTGAAGAGTGGGACCGAGTTCCAAGATCATCTAAAACTGCACTACTTGGCAGCACCAAGATGTTTGTTGTGGTCACTTTAACCTCATCCCTGGAAGAATTTACTGAAACGCTAGGTCCATGTTCCAAAACTGAAGGGACTGTTAGTTTAGTCCAGTTTGTAATAGGTTCAGGAAATACAGGTGTAGGCTGAACATAAGGTGAGCTTCTTAGGCTATCCTCACTTCCACCTGAAATGTTATTCCCAAAATTAATTATACTATCGGAATTGGTATTCAAAACTGGTGATGGTATAAATGCCGAAGAAAGGAAAACTGAAACGTCTTCCAAACTTACTTCTTCAATGGTCTCTGTTTGTTCCACATATGTTATTTGACTTGACAGAGCAACGCTTATATTAACATTAGCAGAAGAACTAGACATAGCTGGCGAGAAGTCCAACTCACTGCTGAAGATGTTTGGAAGACCCGGGGTGGTAACTGTAGAGAATGTTTCATCAATAGATGACGAATGTGAAAACACGGAAGAAGTTGTAATGTACGAAGAAAATATTTCAATAATTGTATCAGACATATCGGTTAAGTTAAGCAGAACCTGTTCTTTGGTGTCATTGTGTAAGTTTGTAGTTAGAAAATACGAGCCAGAGTCCGTTTTTGTGCTATCCACATCGAAAGTAAGACTGGTCTCATTAACAGTTGAGTCCTCACTTGTTTCAGATGTTTTCAAAGTGATGGTCGAGTCTGACAACGTGGGTTTCACGGGTTCGTTTGGAATAATAGTAATACTTGTTTCTGCACTGCCAAATAACAAGTTTGACACTGTAGAATCGGTTTCTTTGTTGTCCGTCGCGTGGTTTTCAGAAGGAATAAGCCCCAGTAATTTGCTTATATTTCCAACCCCAGGGAACTGCCAAGCGGTACTCGTCTGGAAAGGTGGTGGAAGTGGTGGAAGAGAAAAGTCGGTTATTCCTGGTCGCTGTGGCCTTGTAGGAACTACATGATAACCAATCGAACCTTGGTGATACGTTCCAAAGTCTGGAGGGCCACGATTGTTTATCCTCGTGACCGTGGGTCGGCGAATAGGCCTTTGAGGGAAGAGAGAACCCAATGGACGAGGTCGGTTGATATTAACATTGCCCCCTAAAAGTTTGATAATTCCGCTGATTATGCCATCTATAGATTGACGGCTTTGCCTGCTGGTTTTCTCAAGAACCTTTTTGGTTTTTCCATTGTAAGATCGGCCCGAAATCGTACTTTGACTTGGCATCAATCCTAACCCTTCACGTGGGTCCACGCTTCTGACCACAATTCGGGCAGATGACGTCGCTGAAGGCTCATTTATATAGCTTTGGTACTCTGTCCTGAAGGAGGTGTTAATGGGTAAAGCAAATGACTCTTTCCCTTCTCCAGCTGCCATGAACGAACTTTTATTAAAAACTTCTACGTCGGGGTGCACAAAAAGGGAATTCATAAAAAAAGAAAGACTGTCTACATGTGAATCACTAGAATCACTTAATCCATCTACATGTGAATCACTAGAATCACTTAATCCATCTACATGTGAATCACTAGAATCACTTAATCCATCTACATGTGAATCACTTAATCCATCAACATGTGAATCACTAGAATCACTTAATCCATCTACATGTGAATCACTAGAATCACTTAATCCATTCATTTCTATTATTCCTGAAGAATTTAACATTTCTTTCTCGGTATAAAAGTTATTTTTACTTAGAAATATTTTTGATTCTAGCGACGTTCCCGCCAAATTCTCTTTTGACTGAAGTACAGATCTCTTTATAGGAAAGCCATCTTCAAGTAACTGATTGATTAATGGTGTGTTTTTAGTAGAATAATTCCTATAGTACCTAGATGAGGACATGAAACCATTCAACAACATAGGATTGTCATTTATGGACTGGTGAGGAACCGTATCTAGATAGTCTAGATGCAATATCTCTGTTTCGTTATCTTGTTTCAATTGAAGATTTGGCTTTGAAATATTTTTATTGGATTCCAACTTATTAGAATGTCCAGACTTTCTCGAATCTATCCTAGTTTCCTGAGCATCAAGTCTATTTGTCAATGATTTGATCATATGAATAAATTCCTCCTGGTTGTTAATGGTTGTATAATTCTTGTTAGGTAAAAAACTACGCTTCTCGTTATCCGCATTTGATGCTGGCTCACTCGATGATGTAAAAGAAATATTCTCTTGAGTTGTTTTTGTTTGAAACTTTGCGGCGCGTGATTCCACTTTAACTTCTTTCAACGACTCAGTGTCTTCAGAAGATTCCGTGGTTTTGGATAAAGAAGAATAAACTAGACGAGATGACGGGGAATTCTTCTGTGAACGGTGAGAGAAGCCAACGTTGGGGTTACCTGGTTGAAAGTCTCCATGTTTTGTGTTATAATAAATCCACGGTAGCTTTTCTGGCCCCCCATTCATCGCCAACTCTGGAAAACAAAAATACAGGCACACATTTTTAACTAGAGAGTTCTAAGGAATCATACTTATGTCTCATTTAAACTGTTCTTTACAACTTGTTCTATGTCATCGAGAATACAATAATTACCTTGCACTCCGATATATTTTGAAATAAAATTCTTAAAAGTTGATACTAAAACGTTTCTAATTATGAAAAATAAAAGTTAAAATAAATTTTCATTCAAAATATCTTTTGAATTATTGTTATTTTAGCTGTCTCTCATATCACAGCCTGCTTGATGATCCGTGGTATTGAACGAAAAGCCTCGTCGGCATATATAGTGTGGTTCAAATATTGTTAAATATTTGTATTTACTTTCAGTCTTAAGGTCTTGGAGTTAATGGTTGTGACAAACTAAACAGCCAGAACTTGTGAAGTTTTGGTTATGAGAGAAAAAAATAGTTTATCATCAAAGAATTGGCGTTTACTAAAAATATAAAAGTGGTTATCTTTTTTAACTTGCGATATGTTCTTATTACTACTTTAATAAAACGTTGCTAGAAGTATATATAACATGGATCGTAATAAAGAAATATTATACAACACGAAATAAGTTTTGTAAATTAACTATAAAATTTTACACACAAGCTTATCAACAGTTTTGGATTCACGTATCCCATGTTATGTTTTATCGATTCACGATAATATGTAACTTAATCTACAACAGGTCGGTCACATGAATTTTCAACAAATATTCTTTGGAGACCTTTAAAGCCATCGTGACTCTTGATGACGTCAGATGTGGATGATCAAATGATCTCTAGCTCATTGTTCACTGTTGCAATCGTGATGCATTATTTCCCCGAACGAGAGCCGAAGGCCACCTGAAGGGGTCACCTGTTTTAATCACTCGCACCACTAGACAGTAGTGTGTTTGTTGTCTGTCAGTCAGTCAGTAGGCGACGCCACATAAGGGACGCTTAACATTGCAATTTGTACTGTCGTGAAGTACTTCCATGAATCACGAGAAGAATTATGCGCTCTGTAGGCTACAACACAGTATGACATATGAACTTCAAATCAAGAAATCAAAATATTTGTTAATATTAATTTTGGTTTTATTTATTCTTCAAACAGGACACTTTCATGGACCCTATGAAAGTACATCAAGTTTTACGCATATATAATTTCAAATTGAAAACGATCAGGAATGACACATTATGTCGAGTATTGGTGCCGATATACCAGTTCGTTAATAATACAGACTTACGATGGTTTTATTGTCTTGAAATGGTTACATGTTCTACAGTAATTC